AACAACATTTTCAATTACCTTTTATTTGTATCTACACATAAAATTGTAGATTTATGCCACAGATATTAAAAAAGTATCTCTATTCCCCAAAATGCCAGATTATCAAATCATGATAATTTTGACATCTGTTAACCTCTTGGTAAGGAGCTGCATTGCCAACTTAACGATCCATAGTTTTATTTTACCAGTTTCTCTGAGGGGAAAAGAAGATAGACAATCTTCTCCTATACTATTTACTGCCTCTGAAAACCCATTGGAGGCTCAGGTTTGAGTTGGTTCTGATTTAATGGTACATAACAACAACATTCCATCAACCTTTCTCTTTATCGCTGACTTCATGCACATTTTTTTTATTCTACTGAAATCCTCTAGTGAAACTTACAGTCTCTTTAAGGCCTGTTACTACTGTGTACCATCAAGTCGAAACCAACTCATAGCTGATGTTCTAGTGAGTTTTGAGAGGCAATTAAAAAGACTGCCTGTCTTTCTCACGTAGAGTGATGAGTAAAATCAAACTTCCTGCTTTTGGGTTGGCAGTGCCACTCGTTACCACTAAGCCACCAGAACTCCCTTGGGAAGGACAGAATAGAACTCTTCCTTTATGAGGGTACCATGGCTGTAAAATCTTACAGAAGAAAATATCTCTCCCTTGGAGCGACTAGTCAGGTTGAACTGTTGACCTTTCAGCTTGTAGCCTCTTAATACACTTTACCAGCAGCAATCTCTAGGTCTATTGATTTAATACATTGAAGTGGATTAATTTAAATGACACTGACTATATATACACGTTAGGGTCTTGATAGACTTTAAGACTCATTTGAGAAAGACTAACCACAACAAAATTAGCACATCTATACTTAGATATATATTTTAAAAATTAAGGATATAATGAAATACGCTGGTTCGCAATGATTCAAACTGATGACGTATGAGCAGTGTTAACATATTTTTTACTTATTAGAAAACTTGTTCTTTTTCTGTGTAGAGTGAAATTTCCCTTCTACATTGTGGTAAACATGGTTGAGAATTCAGAGTAAACTCTGTTCAGCAGTGGAGAAATCTAAGCAAATTCCCTTACCTGACCAGCAGTGTCCAAGATGTCCAAATAAGCTGGCTCATTGTCAATCCTAACTTGAGTTTTATAAGCATCTTCTGAAAAACAAAATACAAAATTTTAATATAAATATATAGAAATAAAAATGGTTGTTTCATATTTTATAAGGAAAAAAAATCATTTCTTTAGATAGCTAACAGAAAAACTAAAAGAAGGTAGGTAAAGAGATTGAGATTGTTAACACCTTCAGTTTGCATTGCTCCCCAATTAACACTCTTGGTACTGTTGTTGTTGTTGTTACTGTTAACTGCCATCGAGTCACAGGCGACTCACAGTGATATTATGAACAAAGTCCTCAACACTTGAATGATTTCATCCTTTCTCCAGGTTCACAGCATTTCTGAAGGAAAAACTATTATGGAAGTGGATGTCACTCCTGCTTCCAAGCTTGTTTTAATTGGGGAGGTCCACCAAACACTGTCCACCATGGGTAGCCATTATCACATTTGACACATCAGTGTCACAGTATTCAGCTTCACAGCCACCACAAATTACCTCTGTACAGCAAGTGGACACACCAGGGCTATACGACCCAGAAGAATGCTTGACCAAAAACAATTAAAAACAGGCCTGAGGGCCATGGATTAGAGTCACCCACCTTTTGCTTGGTAATATCACTTTCTCTCCACTAGGCCAACTAATCTCTCTCTTGGTACTGGGAACCAGAAAATCAAAAGACAAATTGCTTTTGGAATATCTGCTTTCAGGGACCTTTCCAGAGTACTGAAGAGTAATGATGTCAGTCTGGAGACTAAGGTGCACCTGATCCAGGCCATGGTCTTCACAATTACTTGCTATGTATCAGAACACTGGATAATGACTAAGTATGATAGAAGGAAAATTGATGCCTTTGAGGTGTGGTGTTGGAAAAGAGTATTAAATATACCATAGACTGCTAGGAAAACAAAAAGGTTCTTCTTGGAGAGTGTAAAACCATGTTTCTCCTTGAGGTCAAAGATTCTGAAGCTTTGCATGACATACTTTGGGCATGTTACAAGGAGAAGCCCATCCTTGGAGAGGGACATCATGCTTGGGAGAGTGGAGGGACAGCGCAAGAGAGGGAGACACTTGATAAGATGGGTTGACTTAGTGATCAGGGTAATGAGAGTAGATGTGTCAGAGATGATAAGATTGGTTTAGGATAGAACAGAGTCAGAGCTGTTGTATATAGGATCACTATGAGTTGAAAGTGACTCAACAAAAATAACAAAAATTAGAAGAAGATAGAGAAAAAACAACTCTCCCTGAAGTTGAGTTAATATTGAGTGAGGTAGATTTCACTACCGGACAGATCTTTTATTAGAAACATTCATTTTCAGAAGTACTTGGTCAAATAGTCTAGCTCTTTTCATGGGATAAATGTAAAATATCTTCTAAATTATGCACTTGAAGTTGCACCATTTGTTAATAACAGAAGTGTTATAATAAGCTATAGTAAATCAAGCTTATGATAATATTTTTTAAAAGAAACTAAACTAGAAGATATTAAAACCAAAAACTCAAACTCATTGATGTTGATTTGGAACTAAGGCTGTAAATCAGAGAGAAGATTGGCCAGCTTTCCACTGCTGAATGAGTGGGGTGTTTGAACTTCAAGAGAGATGTGGTTTGGGGTTTAGCTTGCTATTAAAAATAGAGTCAACCATACTCTTTTTCTTTTTTTCAACCTTACTCTTGTTGACTGATTAAAGTATTGAAGACCTTCATTGGCTCATGTAGCTTAACTTAAAATGAAAAGAATCATCTTCAAATACCCATTACTAGCTTGAACACGGGCTGTATGAATCACAGATTTAGAGACATTTAGAGATAACAATTAAATGTAAGGCATAAGAATCAGACTAACATAAGAGCTAGTACGCCAGGAATAACAAATCGAAGACAAATTACATCACAGTCACTGCTAAAATAAAAAAGTCCAATGGAATACTGCATGGTTTAAAATCAGGAAAGGTGTGTGTCAACGTATTATTTCTCTATACTTATTCAATTTGTAGGCTGACCAAATGATTTCAGAAACTGTACCACATGAGGAAGGATCAGGATTAGTGGAGAAAAAACCAGAAGTCATTAATGACTTCATTTTACTTGGGTCCACAATCCAAATCCATGACGGTGGTAATCAAGACATCAAAAAAGATGTGTTACATTGGGAAAGTCTGCTGTAAAAGACCTCTCCGGAGTGTTAAAGAGGAACCAACTCACCACCTACTTGGTGGGAGAAAAGACTGGTAATTTACATTCATGAGGATTACATTTTAGGAAACCCTTTTTGTCAAGTTACACATTACCCTGTTGGATTGACTCAACAGCACACACAATAATAACAATGAATTGATAATAACAATGAAAATCCCCATAAAGGCAAAGTGTTAATGCATATTGCTGAGTAACTTTCATGATTCATATTTTTGAAAGATGCTGGGTAAACACATATACACATAAAAACACTTATGTATATACACATACAATCATGGTATGTACTTTCAAGAACCTTGCACACTCATGGATTGAAAACAAATATATATACACAGATATGCAATGTTATGTGAAATGCCACACCTTAATAGGGCATAGACTCTAGCTACAGGATTTCAGAAGCTGAAATTATGGGTCATATCATTGTGGAGTAATCCGTCTGAAGTGAATTTACTAACTCGTCATTTTAAATCTGTTCTGCATAAGACCAACCGAAGAATTTTTCCATTTTCCATTACACCGTCCTTTGCATTCTTACTGATCTTCCTTGCCATAAAATATGACTCTTACAGAATCAGTTGTGATTTCTCTGAAGATAGTGTAGCTGGGTATTGTGTATTTTTTTCCCTTTTTGTCATCTTCAATTTCATAGGGAAATAAAACTAGTGATGCTGAGAGGCTCCGTGTTTCAAGATCACATTGTGAGTCTTTTAAATTTCACATTTGTTTATTTAAGCTCAAAGGACCAAAGAAGAGCCTGCTGAGGCCAGGAGTCCACTGATTAATCTAGACGAGAACAGCTCTGGATGATTATCTGAGCCCTAGATAAGTCTGGCACATGAAACATATATCAAACAAAGGCTTCTCTTGGGATAATAAAACCACTTCAAAGACAGCTGATGTGAATTGTCTAGAAACTAAAGCCAGGCACTCTCTCCAAGGTTTATTTTTTTTCTCTTTTAAAAAATGTCCCTCAGAATACACATTGTAGTGTTGAGAATCTAGGTCACTTTCCTGGCCTCCATAGAAACCAATTCCTTTTATTTCCTTGCAATAAATAATCATCTCTTCTTTTGCCACTCATCCACCCCCTTTGAGCCTCACCATGCAGAAATGAACTGACAGAAATGCTTAGGGTTGTTTTTTTTTTTCTTTCCTCTCCCAGAATTTCAATCATGGGTAAGGATATTCATACCTAAAGTGAGGTAATATTCCTTCCCAAACAAGAAACTACGTACGTAAAAGTCATATCCAACAGAAATTATGGCAGTGGTTGGCTATATATAGTTTTCACCAAAAAGTAAAGCAGATCTATATTCTTAGAGTTTAGTTATCATTTTAAAAAGCAGTGCTACCACCTTAAAAGGAATGTCTAAATTTTTGTTTACTTGAGGGTCTATTTTGTCTCTTAAGGAGCTCTGGTAGTATAATCCATGTTGTGTCATATTGCTAAACAAAAGGTCAAAAGTGGCTATACTGCCAAATCAAAACCACAGTGAGGTACTATCTCATTTCAGGAAGAGTGGCAAAGTTTAATAGCGCAGCAAATAACAGATGCTGGAGAGGATGTAGCGAGAAAGAACACTTATACATTGTTGGTGGGATTGTAAAATGGTGCCACCATTCTGGAAGGCAGTTTGGCGCTTCTTCAAAAAGATGAACATAGAAATTCCATATGACCCAGCTATTCCACTACTTGGAATATACTCTGAGAATATGATATCTGAGGCACAAACAGAGATTTGTACATCAGTGTTCATAGTAGCATTATTCACCATTGCAAGAACCTGGAAACAGCACAAATGTCCAATCACAAATGAATAGATTGAGAAATTATGGTGCATTTACACAATGGAATACTATGCAGCATGCAGGAGCAATAACTCTGTAAATTATTACCCAACTTGGGAGGGACTGGAAAACATTATGCTGAATGAATTAATTCAGTCACATAAGGATAAATATTGTACAAAACCATTAATGTAGAATGAGTGTAAGGATCCAGGAGGGGTGGGAGAGGCTGGAAGCAGAGGGATGTGGATGTGCAGGGGCAAGTGGGGATTAATCATTGGGTTGTACAATTTGATGGGGGTGAGGGGTTAAGGGAAATTGAAAGAATTTGTTCAAATTTGTTTTTGAATTTTGTAAATAAACTAGTAGAAAAATTAAAAAAATTATAAGGAGGAAAAGTGCCTATACTACAAGAGAAAAATGAGTGACTTCTTCCTGTAAATATGTAGACTTGGAAGCTCAGTTATAGTAAGGATTGTGGTGTCAACCCAAAATTAAGAAGTTTAAATCAACCTGTGCTCAGTGGAAAAGATGGGCTGTCTTTCCCCATTTAATGTGTGGCCTCCAAAAACCTTCTTGTGGGTCAGAAGTAGGTTTATTTCTAATTGATGGTATACAACAACAATAATAACATGTGTTGGAACCAACGATACCAGTGGATCTGCATTTGGTTTATTGCTTTGTTAGGATATGTCCTCCTCATACTCCTCTCTCCTGCAGAACTTTCCATACCTATTCAACTTGTATGCTGAGCAAATGATTTTAGAAGTTAGACCCTGAGGAAGAATGTGGCATTAAGATTGGAGAGAGACTCTTAAGTAACCTGTGTTATGCAGATGACACAAACCTGCTTGCTAAAAGTGAGGAGGACTTGAAGCACTTGTCTCAGAAGAGCTAAAAAAACTGTCAACAACTTCATCTTATTTGGATTCACAACTAACATCCTTGGCACCAGCCTTCAGGAAATTAGGATACTTATTGCACTGGGAAAGTCTGCAGTTAGGGACCTCTCCAAATTATTGAGGAGTAATGATGTCAGTTTGAGGAC